AGGGGTTTTTTGTTTTTGGTTTGTTGTTGGTTTGTTTTGTTTTGTTTTTGAGAGTGAGAAAGTGAAGGCACGAGTGGGGGAGAGGGATAAAGAGAGAATCTTAAGCAGACTCTGTGCTCAGCACAGAGCCCGATGTGGGGCTCGATCCCATCATCCTGGGGTCATGAACTGAGCTGAAATCAGGAGTCAGATGCTCAACCAAATGAGCCACCAGGTGCCCTGAGAACCTGAGTTCTTGAATTCGAGCTGGATGTGCAAGTGAGCCTCATGAGGTGGTGATCATATACTCTCCTTGTCTAGTGTTGGCTTCTGGCTGTTGCCCTGTCATTCATGCTGGTTTAACATCCATCCAAATTTTTCAGTTTTTAAGAAAATGCCGTTATTATTCATTTTAAGATGAGCTGGGTTGGGTTTCATAGATTCCGGCTTTGCTTACAGATTCCGCCCTAGTCTGGTCTAGTAGTTTGTGAAATCCTGTGCAGTGAAAAGATTCTCACTCTAACATGTGGTTAAATCTGAAAGACAATGACCTGCCTGTCTCTCTACTCCCAAGCCTTTCCAGCTTCCCTTCAGAGACTGTATGGATCGCGTGTGCTGATAAAACAAAGAGCTCTCAGGCCTCGGGGACTAGTGACAGCTGACTCCTTCTGTGTCAGGTGCACAATACTGCCAACACACCAGTAATTGGGGCGAGTAGGAAATGTGGCAGTTTTGCTCATGGTGTGGGAAATGTGTATGGAAAATAGAGGATGAGCAGTCTGTTTCATAGAGGGTATCTGTACTGTTGTCATTTATTGTATGGCTTGAGTCTACAATCATATTTCATGGTTTGAAAAACTTTATTTGGAAATAAACTCCTTTGGCAGCAAAAAAAAAAAAAAAAGAATTGTTCAATCAAATGTTAGGTATTGAATTTACAAGTCTTAAAAGAATTGATGATAAACATGTAGCTTGCAGAAAAAAAAATTTGTTGATATTTACCACCTATTATGGGGACTACAGACGTGTCACTAACCACATGACCACCAGAAGATGAAAATTTGCTGAAGAAGCACCACTGTTTACTTCGAATTCTGTCTGCCATTTGTTAAAAATTAGTTAGAAATTTAGAATCAAAGTATTCAAAGAGGGGAGAGGCAAAAAATATTCATATTTTGGACATGTAACAAACTGTGATTGTGGAAACAATTCTTGCATACAAGACGTATTGAAATGGTTCCTTACAAAAGGGGTGAGTAAACAAACTAAATAATGAGAGGTCAACCAGCATAAAAGGCTTAATTTTAGAATTTTATAATTGCACTTTGGACTCTCTTAGGTTATGGGAAGAATGTTTTGCTGGCACTCCACTCTGATTGAATGTATATATTTGAAATATACAAATTTGGCTCAACATTCAAAAGAACATTATTACAGGTGACTTGATGTGCCCTATAGAAATATTTTGCAAAGAAGGTCATTATAAATACAACCCAAACCCCCAATATGTGTGAAAATATTTACATATTTCAATAAAAAATATTAAAATCCAGATTATACTCTATGCAGCATAATTTGCTTTCTATTTACTAGGCACTGTAGCACTTGTAGAGGGAGTATTTTTTTTCAGTTAACATTTCTAAGTTGTATTAAAAAAAGATTGAAATGTCCCCAATTTCTTACGTATTATCTATAAAATGCATCTTTGAAGACGTTTGCAGGTACTTTTACACAAAATTGAAACTAATAAGACCATACTGAAAAAATTCACTTTTAAAATAATACCAGTTACAGGGTGCTAGAGATATATATGAATAAGAACCCGTTCAAAGTATCTAAATATGTGCATGAGTACTTTTTCTGCTGACGTTGTTTCTAAGCTTATTTCTCTTAGTAAATTTTTATAGGGCTTTGCAACATTTTAAAAAAAATTCCTATTTCAGTGTGTACTTCATAAAATCAAGGATAATTGCTGATGAAACCAGTACAACTGTCAGAATCTGGAAATGAACATTGCTTATATTTAATGTTCTGATAAGGTAAAAAGTGTGTTAATGTTGTTTTACTACAAAGATACATACTATTGTTACTTTTAAGAAGAATTTTATTTTGAAAATTTTTATTGAATAGAACTTTTTCATTGGTTCACCAATATATTAAAGCCAAATTGTTAGTCCTTAATTATTTGTAAATTATATAATTTAATTATTTTTATTGCTCCTATTCACTGGAAAATGTGCCCTGATTTGCATGAAAAATTTTATGCTCTCCCCACTCATGTTTAAAGAGTATGAAAATTGGAGCCTTCTGTACAGCATGCAACTCTTGATATTGGGGTTGTGAGTTCGAGCCCCATGTTGGGAGTAGAGTTTACTTAAAAAAAGAAAGAATATATGAAAGTTAACCATATAAAGAGAGAGAGAGAGAGAGAGAGAGAGAGAGAAGGGTATTCCAGGAACTTGATTCTACTGTGAACTGAGGTTTACCACTCTTCATCTCTCCTCTTTGTCATAATCATTTGTGATCTTAGAAATGCAGTTACATTGGTTGAACATGGCTTACAGCCCATCTGTCTCTATAATGGAACAGACTTGGCTGGATAGAAGCCCCCGAAGTTGAGCTGAAATTGCAAATGATAGTTTTAAACTATGACACCCTCTTCCACAAATAGAGAGAGAGAGAGAGAGAGAGGGAGAGAGTTCTCAAGGGATTAAAAAAAAAACAGATTAAAAAATTAAAAAACACATCACACAAATGGTTGTCAGGTTTTCTTTCCTTTTAAATTGGTATCTTGTTGAAAATAATTTTTACAGTATTTAACCAAAACATTTTAAACTAGTTGGGAGAAAAAAAAATGGTGTTAGGAGAATCATACTCCATTGTAAATGAGGTATTAAAGGTGCTCTTAGCTTCATTATTGTAAAGGAAACCAAAATGCTTGTTAATGAACTTCAGAAACATTGGACTATTCATTCAAATGCCCCAAGAAATCTTTGGACTTGGTCTTCCTGGATCTTGTCAAAATAGAATACAAGTATGTATATACAAGGAGACCAAGTAATGAGGTACAAAGAGTGTGTTCCTAGCCTTATTTCATGAGTATAGGATGTTAAAAAGAAACCAAAAGAGATCTAATGAATACAGTGTTTAAACTATCCACCCACTCATCCACCTACTCGTCCATCCATTCATCTATCTACCTATCCTTTCACCCATCCATCCCTTCATCCATCTACCTATCAATTCACTTACGTCTCCACCCACTCACCCACGCATCTATCCATGCATCCATACATCCATTCACCTCTCCACCCACCTATCCATTCACTCAATCATTCATATGTTCAACTAATAGTTAATGAGTGCATATTTTTTACACATTTCATTAGCAAAAACATGAACACCTGGCCTTAATCTTAAATTGTGTACAGTCTAATGCCAGGATTACATGTCAATGAATATATTTTAGTGTGGCTAGAGGATTTCTGCTTATATGCCACTATTTTTGAGCCAGATGAGTTCTTTCCTGATAACTCAGAAGAATATTACCATAGAGTTACTCTTTATATTAGCAAAGTCCCCATCCTTAGGTAAGTACAGTTAATCTCCACTTAACTTTTCTAATTCATTTCAACAAATGTTTATTGATTACTTGTAAGCCAGTCATGGGGGTATAGAAAAAACTGACGAAACACCACCTCTGCACACGAACAAAGAGAGCACAAGAGCACATGGATAATCTGAAAACCACCCCACTGATGCTCTAACCAAGATGTGCTCAGTGTACTGTGGGAGCACAGAGAAGGTGCACCTAATCTGACCTGAGAGTGGTGGAGAAGGAAAATGGCATCAGAGAAGACCTGTAGGAAAAGTCTTAAAGAATGGATGAAAATGAAGCAGATAAAAATAGGGAGGGCAGAGCATTCCAGAAGTGGGAGATGTATGAGCAGAGGCACAAAGGCAATGAAACATATGGTAGAGAATTACAAGCAAATGTGTGCAAAAGCATAAAGAGAGAGGCTGACATCATGGGCAGGAGATGGGCTGGAGTGGAGGGCTGGGGTCTGTCATGCAGAGGCTTATGTGGGCTTTCAAGAAACTTGAGGCTTGAGGGGCTCCTGGATGGCTCAGTGGGTTGAGCATCCGACTCTCGGTTTCGACTCGGGTCGTGATCTCACGACTGTGGGTTCGAGCCCCGTGTTGGGCTCTGTGCTGGCAGTGCAGAGTCTGCTTGGGATCCTCTCTCCCTCTTTGGTTGCCCTTCTCCCACTCATGCTGTCTCGGTCTCTCTCAAAATAAATAAATAACTTAAAAAAAAGAAGCTTGAGGCCTGAGACATTATTGAAATGATTTTAAGTGGTGTAGGGAAAGGGATAGTGGCTGGGTCAGTTTTTTTGTTTGTTTTTGTTTCATCTAGATAAGGTTTCTGAACCTCAGGAATATCAACATGTGGGCCAGATAATTATTTGTACTGTTAAGGGAGGGCGATGGCTGTCCTGTGTGTTATAGGATGTTGAGCAACCTCTCTGGCCTACACCCTCTAGAAACCAGTACCATTATTCAGTTGTGACAACCAAAAATGTCTTTCAAACATTGCCAGTGTTCCCTGGGGGGCAAAATCACCCTGGGTTTTAGATGAATCACCCAGAAGACGAGTATCAGAAGGAAAGAGAAGTGGTAAAACCAGAACTGAATATGGAGGTGGACATAAGAGGGAAAACCAGACAGATCTGGCAGATGATTTGAAAGCCATGGTGGTAGAAAACATGGGAAGATACAGAAAAACAAAGGAGGGGGCTGCTGGGAGAAATCCTGGGTTTTGTTTTTGACACGAGAATTCAAGGTACCCGAGTTGCATCCAGGCCGATCCATCTGGCAGATAGTTGAATATACAAACCTCAGACTTCATGAAGCAGTTTGCCCTTGGATGAAGGATGTGAGTGTTGTTAGCTGGAGTGAGGTTCAAGGTGGGTAGAGAAGGAAACAAAGGGGCCCACAGTTGAGTTTGGGAACACGAAGACATGGAGTGGACAGAAGAAGAGAAAACTATCCAAGACCAGGAATGGGCAGGGGTACGAGAAAAGCAAGGGAAGTGTGGCATCACATCTGCCAAAGAGACCCTTCAAGAAGGAAGCCATCTTAGTAACAGTCTACAGAGAGGTACATTCGAATAAGAAATGAAAAATGTGTTTTGGACAGGGCAGTTAGTTTGAGAGGAAGATACAAGGTTGAATGTAGATAGTATTATTCTGCTGTGTAGACTTGGTGACTGGCACATAATGGATGCTGAAAAACTGTGAGACGATGAAAGAATAAAGAAGTAAATTACATTTGATCCTTGAGCAAGGTGGGAGTTAGGGTTGCCAACCCCTGTGTAGTCAAAATTCCGTGTGTAACTTTGACTCCCCCAAAACCTCACTACTGATAGCCTGCTGTTGACTGGATGCCTTACCAGTAATGTAAACACACTCACAGATACTTTGTATGTTGTACGTATTATTGTACTGTATTTTTACAGTAAGCTAGAGAAAAAATGTTCTTAAGAAAATCATAAGGAAAATAAGTTATAGTACAGTACTGTAAAAATCCACATATAAATGGACCTATACAGTTCAAACCTGTGTTGCTCAAGGGTCATTGCATATTGAATTACACTGAATAAAGGACCTCTTTTGAGAATATAGATGCAGGTCGCTGTGCCTAGATTATTATAATGGTCTAACATTGTATCAAATGTTATATCTAAGAAAATACTGATAACACTTCTCGCTTAATTATGTTATGGCAATGCAAAATAGTCTGTTGATGTCTATGACGTATTTTGAGACTCTCAGAAGTAGGCATTGCAGGAATATATTTTTATTATGCCTCTTTCCAAACCAATATACACACATAGACAACTGAATTATGCCAGTGACAAAATAAGTCCAATGTGTAATTGGACTCATTTAATTTAGAAGTGATCGTTTGTAGGTCCTGAAATATGCCAAGTTGTGTCTAGAAGGCTGTGAACAGCTGTCTTATGTAGCTAATGGCTTGTCTCACCAAAAACGTAAAAAATAGATATAATAGTCATCACCGGCATGATGCGTTCTGGATATCAGAGGTGGAGTAGAGGGAGATCTATTTTCTTGCATGAAATTTTAATGTAATTGGATGGATTTAAGGATTATTTTTTCTGTGTATAGTTCAGGGTATTCGGTGTAATTTCTACCAATTCTACCAAGATTTTTAAAAATAAGAAGCTAATTACAGTTGAACTTAATAAAACTCAAACAATACCGCCTTCACTTATTTATCTCGTTACTCTGCAAGTTACAAAAGTCAAATGCTGAATGCTATAGAAATTAATTTCCCAAGATTCGAGTGCAGTTTAAGGAAATTAGTCATTTACTCTTCTTGTCGATGCTGCAAGAGAGGAGCTCTGCAAAAGTTAGCCAGTTTGAAAATTTCTGCATTATATTTTTACTCATAAGGGAACATTTCAGGTTTTTTTTTTTTAAAAGTTTATTTATTTATTTTGAGAGAGAGAGAAATCACGAATCTGGGAGGAGCAGAGAGAGAGGGAGAGAGAGAGAATTCCAAGCAGGTTCCGCACAAGAACCCAATGTGGGGCTTGAACTCATGAACTGCCGAGATCATGACCTGAGCTGACGTGGGACTCCCAACCGACTGAGCCACACAGGCGCCCCGACATTTCAGTTTTTGCATTTGCTTTCAGAGAGTACGTACTGGACGTTTCAAGTGTCATCACTTTTATTCCTACTGTGCATCTTCAGTATATAATAAAATATTGTGAATGATCTGTTCAGAAATCATCTGGGTGCTACCAAATAATAACTCTTAGGGCCATATTAACACCCTAACTCTATTTGGACATGTTTTCAAGGACCCGAAAGATTGAAAACAGTAATGTTTGATTCTTCGTGAAGTTTGTATGACAGAACGCTTATCTGTATTGCAGTACTGCTGAGTACTACAAAGCACAAATATACATAAATTATAATCCTTGCAAGCCTGTTGGAGAGAAGGAACCATATATAAATCAGCAAGAGACAAATTAAGTGCTGAACGCTTAAAAATAATTCTTTTGGGGCGCCTGGGTGGCACAGTCGGTTAAGCGTCCGACTTCAGCCAGGTCACGATCTCGCGGTCCGTGAGTTCGAGCCCCGCGTCGGGCTCTGGGCTGATGGCTCGGAGCCTGGAGCCTGTTTCCGATTCTGTGTCTCCCTCTCTCTCTGCCCCTCCCCTGTTCATTCTCTGTCTGTCTCTGTCCCAAAAATAAATAAACATTGAAAAAAAAAAATTTTTTTAAAAAAATTTAAAAGTAAGGAGCCACTTTCCTACTACTGCCAAATCTCAAAGGATTGAGTAAAAATCAGGTATGCTCATAGCAGAACTGTTCTGTTTCCTGAACAAGGGAACTATGGAAAAACACCTCCCGGGTCCAAAAATGTTGGAAGATTTGTTGCCTCTTGATTCCTTGCTTTAACCCTGAGCTCTTCTGAATGGCAAATTCAGTTCCTCTTTTCCTATCACCCACTCTCATAAAGGGAATTCCAGTACAAACTGGGAAAAACAAATTTCTCTTTGGGACTATTATCAACCACAACAAAAATAGGAAAAAGAACATCTCCCCCATGAAGCCCCCTTGACTTCCTTTGAGCCCATGGTTGTCCCCCATCCTTAAACACTGTGACACATACAGGATGCTCTAAAGTGCTCAGCACTTGAGGCACCTGGCTGGCTCAGTTGGTGGAGCATGTGACTTTTGATCTCAAGAGTCATGAGTTCAAAGACCACTTTGGGCATAGAGATTGCTTAAAAATAAGTAAATAAGGGGCACCTGGGTGGCTCAGTCAGTTAAGCATCCGACTTCGGCTCAGGTCATGATCTCGTGGTTTGTGAGTTCAAGCCCCATGTCAGGTTCTGTGCTGACAGCGCAG